TTTTTTTTTTTTTTTTTTTTTTTTTTATCAAAACCTGAATTTTATTCTTAACTCTTTCAGAGTTTTCTACTCACTACTTTTCATATTTAATAGAAGAATTTAAGCGAAAAAAATTCATTAATAATATATCGACAAGATCCATTTTAAATTAGTAAATAAAATAAATTAAAAAGAAAAAAAAAGAATTCAGGTTTCAAATTTTCAGCAGATACTTTTTTTTTTTTTTTCTTTGACTTTCTTTCCACTATTTTCTTTACGTAACTAACATCGGCTTAACCACTTAAAATATTAATCCATGTTTTTGTAGAATCGAGAAAGCGGTGATCGTTCGAGAGGCGGAGGCAGCGGTGGTGACTTCCAGAGGTCGGATTCATCCCCTGGATCTCGACCAAGCTCCGTGTTACCGGATCTTCTCACCTCGTCACCTGGCCAACGACAGGACAAAACAACAAGTGAAGAGGTTAGATACATATTTTTCCACGTAAAAAAATGTACATAAACATATATTTCTTTCCATTCTCTTTCTATTTTTTTTTTTTTTTTCATCTTCTCCATTTATATGTATACGCGAATGTGCAAAATTTCCACGCATTCAGACTCGTTTCACAATGTTCAAATGCTATCTATAAATGGGGATCTCGTTGATTGTCCATGATCGCTGATTTTTTTTGTATTACTCTTCATAGTTAAAGTGTTCCACGCGTGTCCCTATATGACCTGTTTCACACGATATATATTATATACGTATATAAGAAAATATATTACGTGAGCATGACAGCCATTACCACCAAGAAATATAAGACAGAAAAAAAAAAAAAAGGGTGAAGAAAAGAAAAAAAAAGATTCTGAAAAAAATGTTGACAAAGTACGGTATATTTTAGATTAAAAGCAACAGCATAATTGATCGCATTTCGAGATCTTGTCTTTTTCTTATTTCATCATTGTATAGTTTTGCACCTTAAGATCGATCGATTTTTTTTTTCTTTGCTTCGCTTTTGATGCACTTTCTTTCTTTCTTTCTTTCTTTTTTTTTTTTTTTTTTTTTTTGAAATAATAAATATTTCGAAAGAGACGAATTGAAATTGTTGTTGCTTTTATCAATAAATATTTCGAAAGAGACGAATTGAAATTGTTGTTGCTTTTATCATTTTTTTTTTTTTTTTGTAGTCACCGATAGCGAGCTTTAATATGTGATTCATAGTTTTTAGTACGATTGGTATAGGAAATTATAGAAGTATGATAGATATAGGACAAGGGTCCATTTTTTATCCTTCCATTTTTCTAATATTGTTTCGATTATTTATATAATGAATATTTACGATATTCTTTATCTTAAAATGTTTCAAATTGAATATAATTAAATTCTCAACTTAAAGAATATCATTTCATTAATGATTATCTCTTTCGATTTTCATTACTATTGCAATAATTTTGCAAGGATAAATTATTCGAAAATAATATAATTTTACAATATGATTCTATATATTTTAAGGAAGATAATAAAAATAATAGAATTTTGGCAGAGTATCATAATTTTCTCATTGCTTCTAAAATTTTTATTTTAAATTTATCGATTTATATTTATATTATCGCTTCGTTTTATTTTGCGATTTTTTTTTTTTTTTGTATTATACTTTAGACTAGTGCCTGCCAATGACTGATATTTCTCAAGCACCTCTTTCACCTTTCTGTTCTAAAACTTTGTTAAAGTTGGTAGGATATCTCACGCGTTTCCACTTCTAATGCTCTCCGCGATGCAATTCCGTTATTTTGCTAATAAGGAGAGAAAGATGTTTGGACATGAACATCTTGGATTTGGAACAGAATTTTCGCACAATAGAACACGCAGGTGTTTCAATTTTACACAGGGTCTTATGATATATCCCATCTTTTGAGGATCGATTCTAAAATAAGAGTAGAAACGAGCATAAAAATTGATATTGAACGAAAGTGTCGAGGCTTATTTATCAAGCTACGAACAATTTAATTTTTTTCACTTAGACGAAGCGAAAAAGAAAACTAGAGTAACGACTTTTATTAATTTAAAAGAAAAAAAAAAAAACGAATTTATGATCAATTGTTAGAAATTATTAAATCATTACACTATTATATATACTTATGTTTTTTTTATTATGCGCAAAAATCCGCGCAAAAATAGTCCCATTACGTTTGTCAGCGTGACTAATTAAGGATTCTGTTGTGTGTTGTGGGACGCGTGGGAGCTCTAATCCGAAGAGCAAGGCCCTTTCTACTGACCATCCCAATCCCAATACTAATTATCATGTAAGTATTCATTCGATATCGAATTTAGTTCAGTGTTGCTTTTTCCTCCTCTTATAGAAGGATATTATCTCTTGTGTGCAAAGGAAACG